CTGTACTCTTTCTAGAGCAGGCATGTCAAACTGCTGGCCCTCGGGCCAGATGCATCATACTGAAACCATGACCACCCCATTGCCGGCAATGGGAAAAAAAGCCGTGATACATCGCGCAAGTTTGACATGCCTGTTCTAAAGTCTCAACATCTTTTTTACATCATGGTGACCAAAACTGGATGCAGTACTCCAAGTGTAGCCTTACCAAGACATTGTAAAGTGGTATTAATACTTCACGTGATTTTGATTCTATCCCTCTGTTAATGCAGCCCAGCACTGTGTTGGCCTTTATGGCAGCTGCAGCACACTTCATAGCATAATACTAATGTCAGAAATGTGGGGTTTTTGGAAAAAGCACCATTTTCTACTGATGAAAGGATAAAGGTGTTAAAATAGCAGATATTTTGTGGTATTTTACTTTTGTTCTGATTATATTCTAGCAGTATATTATTAAACATTATTGATGAATATAAAACATAAAAGTAGATTTCTTTCTTAAGTCTTTATTTTTAGTTGGTTTGGGATGGTCTCTTTTCTAATTTTTAAAGACTTTTTTTTAAGTTTGAAAACTGTTTTGTGTATGTTAAAAAAGCTAAACAAATTTTTTTCCTTAAAAATCTTAAATATACCTACTAAAAATTTTATCTTGATTCCAAAGTATTTGCTTTCCTAGGTACATTATTTCAAAATGATAACATATGGATCATGACTTCACTGCATATATTATAAAAATAATTTGTATGTGATATCGTGACATCTGATGGCACTGAAGGGTTCTGGAACAAAGGGAAATTGTTTAGTCTAACTGTTGCTTTCTTGCTTTTTGTAATTGGCTTTTGTACCAGAGAAATTTCATGCAAGCTTGGAAAACATGTACATGGATGGGATATACATGTACATGGATGGAGGGAATAAGGGAGTGTCTTTCTTAGGATGTCTTTCTTATGATATAATAGCTCTGTTGTCTGATTTTAATTGGCTATCAAATTTATAAATTCAAACAAATTACAGATGTGGAGAGCATCCATCCAGTGCTGTGCATAGCCAGCTTTCCTGATCTCCTTTTCCAAAACTAGATCCTAGAATGGAAAATGTGGAGTCTTTTCAAACCAGTCTCACAAGCCTGAAAATTGTTGGACTTAAGTTAGTATCAGTTGTCCCCAGTATTCATAATACAGAAACAGTTGTTTTGCCACACCACCCAAACAAATGGGCCAACTGAGTGTGTGGTTGCCTTTATATGGTCTAACTGCCCTGGCTTTTTTAGGTTTAAAAATATTTCCAGTTAAAAGAAAAAAAATCTGTTTTCCTTCCGTTCTAAAGCTGAAGTGAATTCTGCACCAACATCTCACATAGACTGCATTAATCACATATTAGGGTTTTTTTGCTTTTCGGAAGGGTGTTTTTATTGAGATACATATCCAGAATTGTTATCAGTGTTCTTTCATGCTTCAGGCTCAGTGGTGCAATTCAGCTGGTTCCCACTACTTTGGCAGAACAAGTAGCTAATTTTTTGTTGCCCAGGCCCAGAATGGATTTCTGGAAGCAGCATCCACACAGAACAGGTTGTTCACATATTTGAATCCCACCACTGTTCAGGCTGCATGATATAGAGCCAAGTTACATAAGGATGTGAAGGGTTCTGGAACAAAGGGAGATTGTTTAGTCTAACTGTTGCTTACTTGCTTTTTGAAATCGGCTTTTGGACCAGAGAAATTTCATGCAAGCTTGGGAAACGTGTACATGGATGGGATATACTGAAGGAGGGAATAAGGGAGTGTACAGGAACGATTGATGTCTTTCTTATGATGTAATGGCTCTGTTGTCTCATTTTAATTGGCTAACAAAGCAATGTTATAAAGCAATGCTACAAACTTTCTAAGACGTGGCACTTCTGGATGTGACTCTGCGAGCATTCCACATTGTGGCCACCCAACTGCTTAATTTGATCAAATAAAGTGCTGCTTAATCAAGAAGCCTCCGCTTGGGTTATCTAATTAGATTAATATGGTATCCTAAGTATACGTAAGGGACTGGGACCTTATAGCACCATGAATGTATTTCATTTGTATGATACTAAACACAACGGGTTCCCGCCTCCAGGCTTTCCCAGATCTACCCATCCCCCAAACTGACGTGCCAATGGCCAGAAGGACGCAGCCTGCGACGCAAAGACCCGAATGGATGTGTCTCCGTTTCGGGGTGGAGGCATCCTGAGCACTGGGCCTTCCCGCACTCTTCCCAAGGGTCAGCACTGCCGGGAAATTCCCTCTGAGGACAGAAGCAAGGTCCAGAGCAGCCGGGATCCTATCCCTGGCCAGCTGCGAGCGTGCTCCCAGCTTCTCATTGCAATGAGGCCGATGAACCTGCAGAACAGGCCACCAAGATGCCGGAATCAGCGACAGGCAGGCTAGAGCAGCACCGGAAGAAGAGGCACAAGGACGCTCTTGCTCCAACCCTTGTTTTCCTGTTGGGTCCCAACCCCAAAAGCGCAGCTGCTTCTAGAGCAGAGGTGGGGAACTATGGCTCCCCTTATAACGTGGGGACTTTAACTCCCAGAATTCCTGACCCAGTCCAGTATTGTAGCTGGATACCCTCCCCCCAGTTGTACAGACTTCAGCTTCCCTAATTCTCCACATTATCATCCTGCCTGGGAAATTCTAGGAATTGAAATCCAGGCATCTGGAGAGGATGAAATTTAAAGGTGAAGGCTAATTTTAAACAAGTCAAATTCAAACAAATTACAGCTGTGGAGAACGTCCATCCAGTGCTGTGTATAGCCAATTTTCCTGTCTCCTGTTCCAAAACTAGATCCTAGAATGGAAAATGTGGAGTATTTTCAAACCAGTCTCACAACCCTGAAAATTGTTGGAATTAAGTTAGTATCAGTTGCCCCCACTATTCATAATACAGAAACAGTCATTTTTCCACACCACCCAAACGAATGGGTCAACTGAGTGTGTGGTTGCCTTTATATGGTCTAACTGCCATTTTAGATTTAAAAATATTTCCAGTGTTCTTTCGTGCTTTAGGCTCAGTGGTGGGATTCAGCTGGTTCGTACCACTTCGGCAGAACCGGTAGCTAATTTTTTGTTGCCCAGGCTGAGAAGGGACTTCTGGAAGTGGCATCCATACAGAGAACCAGTTGTTCACATATTTGAATCCCACCATTGTTCAGGCTGCATGATATAGAGCCAAGTTACATAAGGATGTGAAGCATTCTGGAACAAAGGGAAATTGTGTTGTCTACCTGTTAGTTTCTTGCTTTTTGTAATCAGCTTTTGCACCAGAGAAATTTCATACAAGTTTGGGAAACGTGTACATGGATGGGATATACTGAAGGAGGGAATAAGGGACTGTACAGGAATGATTGATGTGTTTCTTATGATATAATGGCTCTGTTGTCTGATTTTCATTGGGTAATAAAGTGGATAAAGCAATTCTACCAACTTTCTAAGACGTGGCACTTTTGGACGTGACTCTGCCATGGTTCCAGATTGTTGGCCACCCAGCTGCTTAATTTGATCAAATAAAGTGCTGCTTAATCAAGAAGTCTCCTCTTGGGTTATCTCATTAGATTAATATGGTATCTCAAGTATAAGTAAGGGACTGGGACCTTACAGCATCCTGCATGTATTTTATTTGTATGGTGCCAAACACAACGGTTTCCCCCCCAGGCTTTCCCATCTCTACCTATCCCCAAAATTGACATGGAAATGGCCAGGAGGGCGCATCCTGCAACCCAAAGATCCGGACAGGCGCCCTGAGCACTGGGCCTTCCTGCATTCTTCCCAAGGGTTGGCACTTCTGGGAAACCCCCTCTGAGGACGGAAGCAAGGCCTGGAGCAGCCGGGCTCCTCTCCCCGGCCAGCTGTGAGCATCCAACTTCTCATCGCAATGAGGCCGACGAAGCACGCCTTCCTCAAAGTGACTTTCACCTGTAGAACAGGCCACTAAGACACCGGAATCAGCAACAGGGAGGTTGGAACAGCACCAGAGGAATGGGCGCAAGGACGCTCTAGCTCCGCTCCTTGTTTTCCTGTTGGGTCCCAACCCCCAAAGCGCAACTGCTTCTAGAGCAGAGGTGGGGAACTATAGCTCCCCTTGTGAATTGTGGACTTCCAACTCCATAGCTGGATACCCTCCCCCCAGTTGTACAGACTTCAGCTTCCCTAATTCTCCACAATTACCATCCTGACTGGGAAATTCTAGGAATTGAAATCCAGGCATCTGGAGAGGATGAAAATTAAAGGTGAAGGCTAATTTTAAACAAGTCAAATTCAAACAAATTACAGCTGTGGAGAGTGTCCATCTAGTGTTGTGCATAGTCAGCTTTCCTGATCTCATTTTCCAAAACTAGATCCTAGAATGGAAAATGTGGAGTGTTTTCAAACCAGTCTCACAACCCTGGAAATTGTTGGACTTAAGTTAGTATCAGTTCCCCCAATATTCATAATACAGAAACAGTCGTTTTTCCACACCACCCAAACGAATAGGTCAACTGAGCGTGTGGTTGCCTTTATATGGTCTAACTGCCCTGGCTTTTTTAGGTTTAAAACTATTTCCAATTAAAAGGAAAAGAAATCTATTTTCCTTCATCCTAAAGCTGAAGTGAATTCTGCACCAACATCTCACATAGACTGCATTAATCACATATTACGGTTTTTTGCTTTCCGGGAGGATCTGTTTATATTGAGATACATATCCAGTCTTGTTATCAGTGTTCTTTCGTGCTTCAGATTCAGTGGTGGGTTTCAGCTGGTTCGCACCACTTCGGCAGAACCAGTAGCTAATTTTTGTTGCCCAGGCCCAGAATGGACTTCTGGAAGCGGTATCCACCAGTTGTTCACGTATTTGAATCCCACCACTGAGCCAAACGCTTTGGAACGGACTCTATTGCATTGTGTTAAAAGTAAAAAAATAATTTGTTAAAGCCAAAGAAATTATTCTTCATCGTGTAACTAGTGTTTTAAATATAGGAGGAAGAGGCAGCAATACCATTTTTAGGCTTAAACTTTCCATAAATATATTATTTTTACTTCAACAGAGAAAAACATGTTTTATAAAGATTTCAGAATATGAAATCTTTTTTCTTATCCATAATGCAGAGAAGCAAACATTCACATGCATCAATTATACTAACCAAGGTAATCTGCCAGCAGCCCCGTGTTTGATTTTGATTGGGGAACCTACTGTCAAATGGAGCTGTTTTGTAGTTCTCTATCTGCTTCTTATGGATTCAGACATTTTCTGAAAAGAGATATGAAATCAGGAAATTGATATATCCTGGTGCTTCAAAATGTCAGAAGACATTTCCTTAGTGTGCTGGACCGGATTGTAGCAAGCTAGAACTGTGTTCGAGAATTGTAAAATCCCTTTGTGAAACCAAGCATGTGCACACATGGATGGCATCTGTAACCACGCTCAGCTGATACAGAGAATTACCGCTTTTTTACCTACGAAAAATGGAGAGATATGCGAAGACCAGATGCATCTACAGCATAGTAAGTCTCTGCTTAGAATTCCTGGACAATAAATATTTGTGTAAAACCATTTTTGTTGAGTTTATGCTGTCTGGACCAGAACTACAAGGCATCATAGTTCAGGTTTCAGAATACTTAGGAAAAAGATCAGGTTTCCCTATGGCAATTTTATTCCCCAAAAAGAATTCAATACAGGATTGCCCTAGATATTTTATTCTAAGTAGAACCCTGCTCACAAATCATTGTCTACTCCCTATTGTATGCCTTCTTACTCTCTTGTAATCCTATAATGAATGTAAATACCAACATGAATTCTTTTCTAATTATCTCAGTGCTGGAGTGAGCATTCCAAAGGACAGAGGAATGGGGGAAGGGGCTGTAAGAGCTACCCTTTTACTTGGCTTCCTTGTGAGTCAGTCAGTTTTGGAAACTTTTCTCACCCTTTGTCCTCACCCAGATGTTTGGGATAGTATTCTTTGGACACTGTAAAGCAGGGATCTTCAAACCTTTATGACTTGTGGACTTCAACTCCCAGAATTCCTCAGCCAGGCACATTTGTGGTCATGTGATTGGACTTAGTAAATATTTTGTTTATTTAATGAGTTGCCTGTCAAGGACTACTGGTATGGTCTGATTCTCCTGGGTCAACTGAGCGTGTGGTTGCCTTTATATGGTCTAACTGCCCTGGCTTTTTTAGGTTTAAAACTATTTCCAATTAAAAGGAAAAAAAATCTGTTTTCCTCCAGTCTTAAAGCTGAAGTGAATTCTGCACCAACATCTCACATAGATTCATTAATCACATATTAGGGTTTTTTGCTTTCCGGAAGGGTCTGTTTTTTTGAGATACATATCTAGTCTTATTATCAGTGTTCTTTCTTTAGGCTCAGTGGTGGGATTCAGCCGGTTCGCACGGCGGAACTGGTAGCTAATTTTTTGTTGCCCAGGCCCAGAATGAACTTCCGGAAGCGGCATCCACAGAGAGAACCGGTTGTTCATCTATTTGAATCCCACCACTGTTCAGGCTGCATGATATAGAGCCAAGTTACATAAGGATGTGAAGGTTTCTGGAACAAAGGGAAATTGTTTAGTCTAACTGTTGCTTTCTTGCTTTTTGGCTCTGTTGTCTGATTTTCATTGGCTAACAAAGTTTATAAAGCAATGCTACCAACTTTCTAAGACGTGGCACTTCTGGATGTGATTCTGCCAGCGTTCCAGATTGTTGGCCACCCAGCTGCTTAATTTGATCAAATAAAGTGTTGCTTGATCAAGAGGTCTCCTCCTGGATTATCTAATAAGATTAATATGGTATCTCAAGTTTAAGTAAGGGACTGGAACCTTACAGCTGAATGCATGTATTTCATTTGTATGGTACCAAACACAATGGGTTATTTCTCCTCCCCCCCCCGGCTTTCCTATCTCTACCCATCCCCAAAACTAAGGTGCCAATGGCCAGGACGATGCAGCCTGCGACCCAAAAACCCGGTCGGGTGTGTGTCCCCTTTGGGGTGGAGGTGCCCTAAGCACTGGGCCTTCCCACACTCTTCCCAAGGGTCGGCGCCCCCAGGGAACCCCCTCTGAGGACGGAAGCAAGGGCCGGAGCAGCTATAAAGTTTCCCTTGTAAATATAAGCTATTTAACGCAATGAATGGAAAGGCTTCTATCTTGTTAAAAGGGGTCCAGTGAAAAAGCACCACATATACCACAGTAATGACATCTGTCCTTTTCTTTGAGAACATTACCATAGATAAAGCAAGTGGTAGAACACATTCATGAATCATTAATTGAGTTATCAGGATAAACACAGGCATGGGTACTATGCATTTTATTAGAATGGGTAATATCCAAGATTTTTGTACTATTAAATCCTTCAGATGCACACATAGAAAGGACTCAGCAGTGCAACACCCTGAGTAGGGGGAGCTACTGGCTGACAAAAGATCATCAGATTTTGCCTGGAAAAGCACCATTTTCCCGAAGCTCATCCCAGTTGTCAACCTGCAAAAGAACAGGACATTCCTTTGATCGCCATTTCTCAATAAGAGAGATGCCGTTAGAACTGTAAACTCTTCCATACAATTATGCTTCTCAATTATGTCCTGAAAGAGAGGGACAAGAAATCCTTTGAATAAAATTCTGAATGGAATTTGTTGATGGTGTGGAGTTGGTAATCAATTGTTTCCCAGATGTACTGGAACTGCAGGACCCATGATTAATATGCCAGAAATTCTAGTGCTTTACTCCAAAGTATTTTGGTCCGACCCTTCATGGCTGACCCATTGAAAAGGGAGAGATCTTTTACTGAGTGTCTTCCTTTGTCCCCAACTGGTTTCTTGTACAAAAATGCTTTAGCCAGAAAAATACTTACCCAAAAAGAAGGGCACAGGGATGAGTATACTTTTTTATACCACTGACAAACATAGGGATCAGAGCCTTTGGCATTCATAGCTTTCTCACAGCGATGGAAATCTACCAGGAAAAAAAAAATCAAAATGCATCTAATCTAGGATCCAGAAGAGTCCTTAGAACAGAACTGTATATAAGCCTGAAGAATCTACAAGACTGTGTATTGTCCAACACCTGGGTCTCCAAAATAATAATAAACAAAACCTCCCTGTATCCATCATTTTACCCTCCAACACATCCAAATACATTTTATGATGATGATGATATATCATCAATCCTGTGTTTTCACATTCTCCAATCAATTGTTGCTATGGAAAAAGTTAGTGGGGATTCCATACTGTTTTATACAATCAGCCTAACCAGAAAATAAAAGTTATCAAACCCCGACAACTCAACATTCTTGCTTGCATTTTTTTTTTATTAAATGTATATGGCATTTGATCTCACTACTGCAGTGACTCTTATATGCAAGATAAACAGTGTTTTTCAGAAGATTGAGGAGTTTTTAACGCAATCAGGACTGCCTACCTAATATAGTTAAAACTTTGTTTTACCATGGCAAACTATAACCCAAGCTGTCAAAAAAGTTCAAAAGATAAATTACAGAGAAAAAAGGAAATGTATTGTGTTAAAACTAAAAAAATAATTTGTTAAAGCCAAAGAAATTATTCTTCATCTTGTAACTAGTGTTTTAAATATAGGAGGGAGAGGCAGCAATACCATTTTTAAACCTTTCATAAATATATTATTTTTACTTCAACAGAGAAAAACATGTTTTACAAAGATTTCAGAATATGAAATCTTTTTTCTTATCCATAATGCAGAGACATAAACATTCACATGCATCAATTATACTAACCAAGGTAGTTCTGCCAGCAGCCCCGTGTTTGATTTTGATTGGGGAACCTACTGTCAAATGGAGCTGTTTTGTAGTTCTCTATCTTGCTTCTTATGGATTCAGACATTTTCTGAAAATAGATATAAAATCAGGAAATTGATATATCCTGGTGCTTCAAAATGTCAACTATTAGAAGACATTTCCTTTAGGAAAAAGATCAGGTTTCCCCATGGCAATATTCCCCAAAGAATTTAATACAGGATTGCCCTAGATATCTTATTCTTAATCATTGTCTACTCCCTATTGTATACCTTTTTACTCTCTTGTAATCCCTTCCTCTATAATAACGTAAATACCAACATGAATCCTTTTCCAATTATCTCAGTGCTGGAGTGAGCATTCCAAAGGACAGAGGAATGGGGGAAGGGGATGCAAGAGCTACCCTTTTACTTGGCTTCCTTGTGAGTCAGGTTTTGGAGACCTTTCCCACCCTTTGTCCTCACCCAGATGTTTGGGATAGTATTCTTTGGACACTACAAAGCAGGGATCTTCAGACTTGGCCCTCTTATAACTTGTGGACTTCAACTCCCAGAATTCCTCAGCCAGGGTCGCTTAGGGCCAAGTTTGAAGACCCCTGCTATAAAGCAAACGAAAGCTAAGTAAAATCATTAGCACATTTGTGGTCATGAGATTGGACTTAGTTAATAGGTTTTTTTTAACAACAAAGTTGCCTGTCAAGGACTACTGGTACAGTCTGATTTTCCTAGCTGCAATCAGTGAAACAAATTAAATCTTCTGCTCACATCAGCAATATGTCTGGAACTCCTTCCTGCTAAATAGAAAAAAGCCTTGGCATCCTTACCAGTGACCAACAGCTGTTTTAATCTAATACATTAATATTCCTCCCCATTTAAAAAAAAAAACCTTGTGATAACAGACTGGAGATATGGTTTCATCCTTAAACTTTACAGCAGACAAGCTAGATTTTACCAAATCATTTCTACATATATATTCTAGCCTTCTGAACAGAAATGATATATATGACATAAGGCCTCAGAATGCTCACAAGAAATTGGAAGCAGATACTTTATTTGTAGTTCTGCTTACTGGCTTTGACCCAAAATAATAAAAATGGGTGTGGTTGGTAGGATAATCAGATTAATAAACAATTAAACATCTTGAACCTTGAACAGATAACTAAATAAACATCTTGCTTGTTTATTAGTTCAATCTAGATGCAGTTTGAAAGAAACTTGCATCTATCAAAATGATAGCTCCTAAAATATTTCAATTGAATAATGGGAAGAAAGCAAAAGTTTTCATTAAATTGCTAGTTGTGTCCCTTTAATTGAGACTTCATGACACTTTACATAAGAGAAGAGCACCTTTCCTAAAATGATTACCTGGGGGGGGGGGAATGAAAGGTACAAAGGTATCTTGCCTGCAGACAGGAAAACAGTAACAAAAATGACATACCACCTGTGATATAGTGTGTGCCCCTTACTGTAGTATTAAGTATTGAAGATTTATACACATTAGCTGGGTTCAACAGCAGCCTATGCTCAGATACAAAACAGATGTTGTGTTCTCACAAAGAAAACAATTGTATGAGGGCTTCACTTGTGACTGACATGATAAAACAGTGGCTTCCCACCATTCACCAAACCATAGTTACTGTCCCATTCCATTTCAAGGCTACCCAGCTTTTGTAAGAATTCTATTAAAAATTCAAGCTGGTTTAACAAAATCAAGGCAAAAGCAGGGGGGGGGAGGACCTTGATGCCCGAATCTGATGTACCCCAACCTTCTTGCCAATGTTCCTAATCTTCATATAAGTGCTAATCTATGATGAAAAGACAAGACAAGCTATCTGGGCCAATACTGTCACACAATCCCCCAACTAACGATGATGATGGTTATTAAACTTGTGCAATAGTGTCATTTGGCTGCAAGGTCACCTTTTGTATTAAGTCTGCTTGGGTGCACATTCTTTCCAAACAGTTTTCTTTTGCTACAGGAAGTCCTCGACTTACAACAGTTCATTTAGTGAATGTTCAAAGTTACAACAGCATTTTCACACTTACGACCATTGCAGCTTCCCCACAGTCATGCATTTTACATGCCAATGCTTGACAACTGGTTCCTATTTATTCCGGCTACAGTGTCCCGGGGTCACATGATCATCTTTCGTGATCTTCTGATAAGCCAAGTCAATGGGGGAAGCCAGATTCGCTTAACAACGGTGTTACCAACTAACTAATTTTACTAATTTAACAATTGCAGTGATCTGCTAACAAATGTGGAAAGAAAAGTCATAACATGGGGCAACATTCACTTAACAAACTTCTCAGTTGTGCAACATAAATTTTGGGCTCAACTGTGGTCATTAAGTCGAGGACTACCTGTATTACAGAGAAGACTGTCTTTGGGTGAGGCCACAAAGGGCTTCGTCTGAGTGGAAAGAACTTCTTCTGCCTAGGAAAAATTAAGGGCAGATTTCACCCAAACCAACTTCCTAAATCCCCTTCCTCCCTCCCTCCCTGAGCCCCTCTTTTTTGCAGTTGTTGGGGGTCGGGGGTGCCAAAAATAAAAAGGGGAAGTGACCAAGGAAAGTAGGACTGTCTGCATGTGCCTCTTCCTCCATGTATGCCCAAGGAAGGCAAGGCTGTTTGGGGTCCAAACCTCCCGAAGGAACCCGGCCTCCTCCTCTTGCTGCCACTGCATCCACTGGTCTCCAACCTTCCTCACCCCTGGAGATGGGGAGGCCTGGAAAAAATCTGGAAAAATTGGGGGAAAAAGAGGGGTTCCCCTGTTTTTTAAAATATGGTTTTGGGAAAAAAAAAGGGGGGGAAATGTTTTTTCCTCATTTTTCCAAGTTTTTTTTCTCCATCTCTACCCATCCCCCAAACTGATGTGCAGGTTCGCAGCTTGCGAACCAAAGACCCAGACGGGCGTGTCTCCGCGTCGGGGTGGAGGCGCCCTGAGCACTGGGCCTTCCCGCGCTCTTCCCGGGGTCGGCACCGCCGGGGAACCCCCTCTGAGGACGGAAGCAAAGCCCGGAGCAGCCAGGCTCCTCTCCCCGGCCGGCTGCGAGCGAGGTCCCGGCTTCTCACCGCAATGAGGCTGACGAAGCAGCGGCTTCCTCAAAGTGACTTTCACCCGCAGAACTGGCCACCAAGACGCCGGAATCAGCAACGGGGAGGCTAGAGCAGCACCGGAAGAACGGGAGCAAGGACATTCTAGCTCCGCCCCTCGTTATCCTGTTGGGTTCCAACCCCAAAGCGCAGCTGCTTGTTAGAGCGGAAGTGGGGAACTATGGCTCCTATTATGACTTGTGGACTTTAACTGCCAGAATTCCTGAGCCAGTTCAGTACCGTAGATGGATACCCTCCCCCCAGTTGTACAGACTTCAGCTTCCCTAATTCTCCACAATTACCATCCTGGCTGGGAAATTCTACAAAATTCCAGGCATTTGGAGAGGATGAAATTTAAAGGTGAAGGCTAATTTTAAACAAGTCAAATTCAAACAAATTACAGCTGTGGAGAGCATCCATCCAGTGCTGTGCATTGATAGCTTTCCTGATCTCCTTTTCCAAAACTAGATTCTAGAATGGAAAATGTGGAGTCTTTTGAAACCAGTCTCACAACCCTGCAAATTGTTGGACTTAAGTTAGTATCAGTTGCCCCCACTATTCATAATACGGAAACAGTCATTTTTCCACATCATCCAAACAAATAAATCAACTGAGTGTGTGGTTTCCTTTATATGGTCTAAGTGCTCTGGCTTTTTTAGGTTTAAAAATTGTTAGAAGCAAAGTCTTCATCCTGGTTCATCCAAGCCGGGAATAAATAAGCAAACATGGCAACTGCTTTGGGAAGAAGGTTACAGTTTATTGCAGAAAGATGGTTCTTCAGGAAAGTGCAGAGGAGAGAAGGGCTGAGCACATGGTGTAGTAGGTTTTTATACCCCCTCTAGCCTTTCGTTTGGAATAGTTTCCTGTTCCTGTGGCATGAACCTTTAGGCTGTTTCTGAGTGTTTGTCTAGGCCTTGATATCTGTGGTTTAATCCTATTATCATATCCTGCTTCCCACGTGATGGGACTAATGATTCCTAGAGTTTGGGTGGGGTATGCAGACCTTCTCTTTTGTCTTCTTGATTGCTCTGGCTCCAACTTTCTGATGGTTTTACATCTGCATTCGTATGGGGCTAAAGTCTTGCTTGGGGCGAGAGATACATTTGGAGCCAGGTTTGGTTTTAAAAAGTCCTTTTGAGGAAAAATATATTTTTCTGCCCTTTTTAATATTTCTTTCTCTGGGCTAACTTCCTTCAATCCCCGCTTTGTGCCTTAAGTATGTGAATGTATGACACACTTATTGGCACAACATTAAAATTGATCTGGTCAGGGAGACTTGGTAGACCAGCTTTTAAACTGTTAAAGAAACAAACAAAAAATAAGATATTAATGGAGGCAGCAGAAAAAGATCCCTTTAGTGGCTCCCAAAAGGGGAGCTTGCACCCATAAAGTTCTAAAAGTCAGGGCAAAATTTTGTTAGGTGGAAAAGAAATTTATAGTGTCCAATATTCTGTGCCAATCATTTTCAAATGTTGGATATCACCTTTAGCTTCCAGTCAGGTTTGCATACCTCCCAAAATTCTTCACAGCCATGGTTTTCCTTAGTACATGACCACTGGCTGCCCAATTTCAAGGGTTGTTTCCTGCCTTAGCTCTTAATTCAGTGCATCCAGGTTTGTAATGTCCAATATGCCAGGCTATTAAATTTTCTTTAAATTGCACATAATGAGCTCTAGGAATCCCAATCTGAGCCCAACAGTGCAAGATATTCAGGGTTGAAGTTTGGGATTTTTCCTGTTGCTTCCTTAGTCAGGGCATATGAATTGCAAATCACCCCTTGGAATCTGTTGGAAGTTAGTCCCACAAAGCTTTGGTACAATAGAGCAAAAATCAGCCTGGGGAACTTTACTAAAGGTAGGTGGAGGGGATAGACTCAAGTGTGATTCTGAATGATGTGTGTGTGTGCATGTAAGTGCAGCTACTTTTACACAATAGGCAATACAAACATTCTGGATAAATTTTCCCTCCCACCAGATAGAAGTCCAAGGTGTTCAGTACCTGTTCTGCCACCTATTCCCAAATGCCATCTCTCCATTAATACATTCAACTGGCTTGTTACAATACAAATGGGGCAAGAAAGAAAAGTTTACAATGAGTTTCCACCCTCCCCCTCTCTTCTGAGGCTTCACATGGCATCAGTGGCTCCAGGACTCCTTCCTTCTGCAGCTCTCACAGGCATCTGGGGAATGGTAGGACTTGGAAAGATGTTCCACTCAGATTGCATAGTGGCTTTTTAGTGGATGGCTGGATTCAAAACCCAATTCCATAGCTCAAATGGATGGAGGCAGCATCTGGGTCTGTGTGTTCTGCTTCCAAAGGTTTGGGGAAGGGTTGAGGGCTGAAAGATACAAGAACAAGGTCTCCCCCCACCTTTCTGGGTGGACTCTCCCAGGAGAGGCAGACAAAAGGTATGGAGAACAAAGGGCAAGAAAAGAATTGGGAAGGGGGGGGTTAGCTTGCAGGCAGTTTAAAAAGGGCATTAATACTGCAGTTATTAAAGAAACAGATAGACAAATGGGGAACAACAAAATGAAATGTTTCACCTTTGAACTTGACCATTTGCAATAAATTAAGGACAAGAACTTGAAACTTGAAAGGAAGAGGAGAAAAAAAAATGCTAGGCAGCTTGAGAATGCTGAAAACTCCAAATAATTTTAAAAGTCTAATATTTTAATATGTGCAACTTGCCAAGGGTAGGAAAACATTTATTCTAAAATAGACCACATCGTTTTAGAGATTGAGAAATGCTTATATATTTGGGATAAGAAAAGTTTCATAGTAGCTAGTGATAGGATATGAAAAGTAACTTAGGAAAATTATTTCCCCACACAAGCAGACTTGAGCTTCAAAAGGCTCTTGTAGATAGACACACATTTTTCAGGAAAAGGATAGACAGATAAAACCCATTTAAGACAAAAACTCATTTATAGCACATTGCAGAATGATTTTCCAGAGTTTGGGGCAGGAACCCAGCAGGCAGGACACCCCCTTCTCACTCCAATAAAATAATTTAACACTGGATTCCCCCTGGAACAAAAATTAACACCTTTTAGACAGAATTGAGAAGGAAATTAACCCAACAACAGACACTGACCAAAAAAGAAATCAGAAATGACAATTTTGGAAACCATGAAATGGTATTCCAATGAAAAAATGTACAAAAGAAATGGTTTACATCCATCAAAAAAGGGACTGAGTTACTTGGCAATAAACTCAACAGATTTTCTGGAGGAATATTTAAACTAAACAAGGGACAGTGAGTTAATTGAGATCAAAAAATTACAGGGTTAGCAGTGCAAGTAACATAGATGTGTCTGGACAAGAATATCAACCTTGCTATCAAGCAAAATCAAGCTTCTAATGGTGAGTGTCACACAAAGTGGACTAACACATAGGTGTCAGTCATAAAGAATATGATATAGTTGTCATTATAGAAACATGGTGGGATAAAACCCACAAATGGAACACTCAGCTAGAGGGATTTCAATTGTTTAAAAGAAACAGACCAAATAAAAGAGGAGGCAGAGTTTCTTTCTCTATATAAGAAATAACTACACATCTACAGAATTAGGGCTGTTCTGCCCAGACGGAACTCGTAGCTCTGAATTCAATCTAAACAGTCATATGACTCAATAGAAATGAATTAAAACACATATTTATTGTCCAGGAATTCTAAGCAGAGACTTACTATGCTGTAAATGCATCTGGTTTTCCATATTTGTTCATTCCTATAGGTAATTTAATATTGAATTTTCCCCTCTTTTTCTGCTGAGAGTCACATGTTGGCAAAACACATGTGGCTGGATGAACAGAGGCTTGCATCTCCCTTGTGTCCAGGAAGTCTCTCAATGACCCTTTTTCATTCCTCCCACTGACCCATCAACATACCCAGCATTTAACCCATTAACTGGCAGATATTCTAACATACTAACACATGCTCCCTAGTTAGAGTTACGTAGGACTATGCTAAGTCCAGAACATTCCCCGCTTGGAAATTTAAATTTCCACTACTAACTAACTGAAATAGCAAAGAACATAGCATTAAGGCATACAATACTCAAAGGGAACTAACTTGTGACTAAATAGGTAAAAACTAGGTAGGAAACATGCCTAACTATAAAGTAATACAAAACATGTATGATTATGCTAAAAGGAATAAGCAAGTGTTACATCAAACAATGCATAGGACAACACATAATCTGAGGTTTGATCTTCTGGTTCGGTCTTCATCAGCCACGGGACCAAACGGTGATCAGCCTGGGACCAAACGGTGATCAGCCTCGTACAAGTGTCTTTGAGTCATGCCCTGATTCACGTGGCTTCACGATCTGGACCTCAGCTGGGCAAACTAGTTCATCAAGTGAGTGGGCCCAGTGCGCAAGTCCCATGGGCCAATAGTTCTGGTATGCAGTCTTGTCTCCCAGTGAGACAAGGTCTTCTTCCTGTGAAGGAAACTGGAAATGAATCTGGAACAGCAAAAACTGGATCCCAAGCTTCTCGGAAATGAGGGGAACTGGATTCACAGGATACTCAGGAACCGAAGAACCTGGAAAGACATAAACAGCTGGATCTGGAAACACAGGAAAAGCTGGAGCTGAAGAATCAGGATCAGGAACATCTGGAAACTCAGGGACAGCCGGAGCTGGAAACTCAGGAACAACTGGAGCTGGAAACTCAGGAACAACTGAAGCTGTAGAGTCAGGAATGACAGCTGAAACTGAAGAACCAGGAACAACAGCTGGAACTGAAGAGTCAGGAACAACAGCTTGAGCAGAAGACTCAGGATACTCAAGAACCGAAGGGTCTGGAACCACCGGTGGAGTATTGGAGAGAGCTACTGCCGTTGTCGCCAGGGTGAGGACTTCATGTGTGGGTGTGGGTGTCTTTAACGACATGGAGTCCGTGAAAGTCAGTAAGTCCTTGCAGGCTCCTACAAGGCTAATTCTTGGGGTGCTGAGACAAGTGATTAAGATGATCAAAAGTATGCCTAATTTCAGTTGTCTCCGCTTAGACAGGGTTTTGAAGCGGATTGGTTGATGTTTACCGGGTGTTTGAGGTTGAAGGTTGGCACTTTGATCTGAAGCTAGAAGTGCAGAACGTTTTGGTCTATGTGG